AGGTCCTGGGCTCAAATATCGCGATGCGGGATCGTGGATGAGCACTGATGAATCGTCCCACAATAGGACGAAACAGCCATCCAGTGCTTCTAGGTTTTTCATGGTGGTCTAACTTCAATTGACTCATGATCTCAACTATTAAAAATTACTAGAATATACACAAGAAACCCTTTCTAATAATAATTCACTTTTGTTTGCTATTGTAGTTAGTTTTACAATAGTTTAATTAATGATGATTAAATTTTTTTCAAAAAAATAAGAATAATATTAGTCAAAAAACAGAAACCATTGACAATTGGTTTGTAACTTATTTAGTTTCTAAGACATAAATCTTATTGTTAGTAAGGAAAAGAGTCTTGTTAAGTGGGTTTAATTGGAAAAAAGATTTAGTGACTAGATATTTTTATGTATAAAAGACATTTATCTTTAATATCAAAACATTGTTTTTATTTAATTTTTAATAGAAAAGTTTGGTGCACTAAAAAAATAGAGCCTGAGGGGGGAAAGTATCGATTAATTATTGATTTTCATGATGATGACATTCGAAATTGCTGAACATTCCCATGTGTATTGATATTTTATTCTAATATATTCAATAATTACTTAGATAAATGTTATAGCATCCAGTCACTTTTTGGATTCTGAATATACATCATTATAATAGATCATTTGCATTTTTTATTAATCGCGTTTCTAGTAGAGATAATATTATTGATGTATATACTTAATTAATGACCTATTATAATTATGTACAAATTAATGCATTACATAGATGTACAGTGAGGAAAAAATTAATAACTTAAATTTTAAGGATGATAGAGTTTGTGTTTCTCAATGAGAGGCAATTATGTAAATGATTACTGTCAGGTAATTAGAATAAGGATACGAAATTAACATTCTCAAAGTCAAAATTTTCAGATAAAACTTACTTGCTTACTTACGCCTGTTACTCCTAGTGAAGCATAGGCCGCCGACCAGCATTCTCCAACCCACTCTGTCATGGGCCTTCTTTTCTAGTTCCATCCAATTCTTGTTCATTTTTTTCATATCTATATCCATTTCCCGGCGTAATGTGTTCTTTGGTCTTCCTCTCCTCCTTCGACCTTGAGGATTCCATGTGAGGGCTTGTCTTGTGATGCAGTTGGGTGCTTTCCTCAATGTGTGTCCTATCCACTTCCAGCGCTTCTTCCTGATTTCTTCCTCCACTGGGATATGATTTGTTCCCTCCCACAGTACGTTGTTGCTAATAGTGTCCGGCCAACGGATCCGAATAATTTTGCGTAGACAACTGTTAATAAACACCTGTATCTTCTGGGTGATGGCTGTCGCAGTTTTCCAGGTTTCCAGGATTGTACATCTTCCAAATCTTCTCCGTTAATTGTGATTGGATTTGTGCATGCTGTGTTGTACCGAAGAATCTTGCATTTCCCTTTGTGTATATTGAGACCTATTGCTGCTGAGGCTGCTGCTACACTGGTTGTCTTCTCCTGCATTTGTTGTTGCGTTTGTGATAGAAGAGCCAGATCATCTGCGAAGTCTAGATCATCCGACTACATCCTAGATGTCCGCTGTATCCCGTGCTTCCCTTCAGATGTTGACGTCTTCATGATCCAGTCGATCACTGGGAGGAAGAGAAAGGGTGAGAGTAAGCAACCTTGCCTGACACCGGTCTTTACTTCGAACGACTTTGTCAACTGTCCTCCATGCACGATTTTGCAGTTTAATCCATAGTAGGAATTCTGTATGATATTGTCTATCTTATCAGGTACACCGTAGTGTCGATAAAGCTTCCATAGGGTTGTTCTGTCTACGCTGTCAAATAGTTATTCATAGTCAATGAAGTTGATATAGAGTGATGAATTCCATTCAATTGATTGTTCCACAATGATCCGTAGAGTTGCGTTTTGATCTGTACACGATCTATCCTTGCGGAATCCTGCCTGTTAGTCACGAAGTTGGGCGTCTACGGAGTCCTTCATACTGTTTAACAATAACCTGTTGAAGTCGTTTCCTAGTATTAAGAGAAGAGTGATTCCCCTGTAGTTATCTCAGTTGCTGAGATCGCCTTTCTTTGATATTTTGACTAGAAGTCCTTCTTTCCAGTCTTTTGGTACCTGTTCCTCATCCCAGATCTTTCTGAAGAGAATGTGGAGTATCCTTGCAGTTACCTCTACGTCTGATTTCAGTGCCTCTGCTGGAATGCTGTCTGGTCCTGCTGCTTTGCCACACTTGATTTGTCTGATAGCCATGCTGATTTCTTCAATTGTTGGTGGGCCAACATCGATTGGGAGGCTCGTGAGTGCTGCTTCGATGTTGGGTGAGTTCAGTGGGGCTGGTCGATTCAAGAGTTCTTTGAAGTGTTCTACCCACCTGTTTCGTTGTTCTTCAATGTTGTTGATTATCTTGCTTTCCTTGTTTTTCACTGGTCGTTCTGGTTTACGGTGATTTCCAGAGAGTTTCTTTATTGTGTCATACAGTTGTCCCATGTTTCCTTCTCTGGCAGCCTTTTCTGCCGTCATTACTAAATCTTCCACATATTTACGTTTGTCGGTTCTGTTGCTCCTCTTCATTTGCTTGTCTACGTCTGTGTATTCAGCTTGTGCCTTGGCTTTCTCTGCTCTTATTCGGTTAGTATTGGTTGCAACCTTCTTGTTCCTCCTTTCTTGAATCTTATCCAGTGTATCGACCGTGATCCATTCCTTGTGATGGTGCTTCTTTTGGCCCAGAACCTCATGACATGTTGAAGTGATTGCTTCTATTATCTCTTTCGAGCTGCTCTCCATAATAGTTTCTTCTCCATTGAGTAGATCATGAAAGGCCTGGAACCTATTGGAGAGGACTATTTTGAATTTATTGAGTTTGTCAGTATCCCGGAGAATAGATGTATTAAACTTTTGTGATATTGTCCTCCCCGTTGTCCAGTGCTTCTTGAGTTTCAATTTCATCTCGGCGACCAGTAAGTGATGATCTGATGCTATATCAGATCCTCTCTTGGTTCTCACGTTCTCCATCGTCCTCCTTAACTTTTTGTTGATGCAGATATGGTCGATTTGGTTTTGTGTGGTGTGATCTGGTGAAGTCCATGTGATTTTGTGGATGTGTTTATGTGGCAATATAGTGCCGCCTATGACCAGTTTATTGAAGGCACATAGATTTGCAAATCTCTCACCGTTTTCGTCCCTTTCTTCCAGTCAGTGTCGTCCCATGACCTCTTCACATCCGCTGACGTCAATTCCAACCTTGGCATTTAAATCTCCCACCAGAATGGTCAGGTTCTTTGTTGGGCACTTCTCGAGGATTGACTGCAGCCTATCGTAGAATTGATCTTTAGCGTCTTCATTGTAGTCATTGGTAGGCGCGTAGCATTGGATGACGTTCATTGTAATCCCCGTTTTCTTTGTTTTGAAGGAGGCTTTGATGATCCTTGGTTCATGAGATTCCCATCATACAAGTGCATTTTGTGCTTGTTTGGACTGCATCACTGCAACTCCTTGTGTATATGGGGCATTTTCTTGTTCATGTTCGGAGTATAACAGCAGCTCCCCTGAAGCTAGTCGTTGTTGTCCAACTTGAGTCTAATGTGTTTCACTGATCCCAAGCACCTCTAGGTTGTATCTCCTCATTTCTGCAGCAATTTGGAAAACTCTTCCAGTCTCTTACATTGTACGAGCATTCCATGTACCTAAATAAATGGTTGCTCTGGTTGTCAGAAGGGGCATCGGCCTCGTGACTTCCGAAGAAACTCGGCTTTCATCATGAGGCGTCATAATTCTTCTAAACGAAGACCTTTTGAATCCCAGGGCAGAGTTTAGATGGTTTAAATATTTTTTTCTGGTTAGCGTTTTTTTTAGCGAGTTAGTTTTCTACGGGATGAGGTCGCTAACCCCACGCCCAACCCTCCTCCTTTATCCGGGCTTGGGACCGGCAGTAGCCCTCAGCGAGACTTCAGGCGGAGTTAGCTTAAACTACTTATAGTGAAATATCTCAGTTTAAGTTGATACATTTGCTGATTTTTACATAATGGATGAAAGTTTTCCTATTAAGTAACCATTATTGATATTCTTTATTACAGATTAGGCTTAGTGTTCGCGTTCGAGACAAATGTACAGAGCACTCCTGAGAAGTCCCTTACTAGAACAGAACGACCGCTTATTGCTTTCGGATTTTCAATGGTGGTCTAGGTTAGATTGACTTGTGAATTCAACCTTGTTATTTGTGCATTGATTTTATGTTAATTATTCATTTTGTCGATTGATACTCAACAAAAAATAAATAACGATATGTAATTTAATACTCATTTTGTTCTTAATCTAAATTATTAACTACTATAGAAAATATTGGTCTGTATTTTCTAATTGAAATCGTGACTCGATCAATGTTAGACCACTATTGAAACCGTAGAAGCTATAGGTGACTATTTCGTCCCATTATAGGACTCCTCATCAGTGTAAATCCACGATCCTTCACGCAGGATTTGATTTCAGGACCTTCGATTGTGGATATGAACACTAAGCCTTTATTATTTAAATCATTAATATCATGGTAACAAATTAAAAGATCGATAATTTTGATTATTTGACAAATGTCTAGTTAGCGTATGCATATTATTTTCAGATTGTGCAATAACTCTATGAAATTTATTATTATTCAAACTGAATTATACTAGGTTTTCAACATAGTTTAATATAAACTACTTATTAAAGGTTTATCTTATCTCATTCTTGATACTCGAATTCGAATATTAACTAAAGAAATCTTTGAAATTTGTAGAAATTGTGTAACGTCTTTACAACAGTGTACAAAATCATAGAAGTCTACTAGTAGATTTAAAGTCTTCCATTGAACGTATGATATTATACATATAAATATTATTATTTATTTAACATATATATGAAATAACTAAATAAATCTACTTAAACTAAATAGATTATATAACTATTCATGTATATTATTATGCTTTTTAATTATTAATCAAATATATCTTTGATTTGAAGGTATGATTTTGGGTGTGGTAAGTATTGAGCATTGATTTTTATGATAAAATATTAATATTGAAGTAAGTATTGTATAAATCCTATGGTTACATGTTTTCACTGTATATTGTTAACGCTTAGACTTTATTTATTCATTTATTTTTTTTGGGGGGGGGTAATATCGCAACAAATGTTTTGTCTGTTTATGTGTTTTCTTTGTGAAATTTTATATTTATGTAATCAGAAAGTGAGAAATATAGTATAAATGATAAAAGCTAGATATCTATACATTCCATTCTTAAGTGTTTTTTTGCGATAGTATAGTTAATGAATATTAATTTTTATGTGTTTTATATAGCCTATTAAGATATTTTAGATTGTAGAGCGGATGATGTAATGGTAAGGTCACTTTGCTTTCAACTAATTAGCTTCATTTTATAAACTAACCCAATGTACTTCTTTTTACGTTGTCGGGTTGTATATTTAGCTTTCATACTAAAAATGTAGCTTAAAAGTGCTGTACTTAATGAGTTACATTATTTGATAGTTCAGCAACTTAAGTGAACTTTATATACAAATTTTAATTTTGTCAACAAACATCTTATTCATTTTCAAGTTGAAAAGCTGATAGATTTATTAACACTCAAGAGATGTTTGATTAACTATTTTTAAGACCGAATTCGGCAGTAAAGAACAATCTATGGCCTATTTAAAAGAAAGCTGAGTCATTGAGAAGCATTTTTAGACTACTTGTATTTCAAATATTATCTATGACTAGACCAAACATTTGCTAAGAGTTTGGCAAAATATGCTATGATATATATAGATGGATTATTCCTTGTTTCATCCACAGAACTGTCAAAATAATTTATCATAATTATTGGCGATAGAAATCACATTACCCTAATAACTCAATTCTATAATAATGATTCAAGTATTTATTTAGATCAATAGAGAACTATTCATTCAGTATATCTTTAGGAAAACTATCAAAATCATTCATTTTCGTATTATACAAAAATTGTGAGCACATAACTAGTTTTATGTCCATCATTTTTAATATTTTCAACAAATTATTTAACAAGAAAACAAAACGAAACGGAAATCACTAATTCTGAAGTGTTGAAAGAAAAGATTAACATCAATTCTCATTGTTAATCTATACTCCTTTTGTTTAATTGTGATTCAATTCAATAGGCGCTAAAAACAAGATTTATATATTTAAGTTACCAAATCAAAAATTTGTTATATTTACACTCTTATCTGTCAATAAGCGTTTTACAATTCATTTAATTATTATTTTTTCTTGAAAATACATAGAAACAACAAACTGATTTTTTAAAATTTAAATAAAACCCTACTATTGTGGTGTGGGTTACTTATATCCATATAAGTAGTATAAAATGGTGATCAGACATAGAATGTATTTCAGTAGAAGATCGATAAGGAAAGAGTGAAAACAGAATGCAAACGGTATGAAAATGCATGATCGATGAAATCTGGGACAATAGACTGATATTTACAAAAAAAATAGTGAAGTTTGAGACGATGGATTGATATTTTGCAAATTAACGATTTACTATATGGTTCTCAGATTTTAGTGTGATGCTCTGTAATTTCATATCAAATACATTCGATTGCCTCCACTAGTTTTCTATCCATCAAACTATCAATCGTGCCTAGGTAGTTTAGTGGGATTGAGTTGATGAGTATTTTTTTAAAGAAACGTTCTGGAGAAAAGTAACAAGCGTCTTTGAAAAATCTGAAAGTGATCTTGTTTAAAAGCGAAAACTGAAATATCCGAAAAAAATAAATGAAGAATCGAAATTGGAAAGAAGAATTTCAAGGTGAAACAAAAAAACTTGTGAGAAGGGACATAAAATTTAAATATTTAACTTAGGAAGAATCAAATCGATAACTCACTAGTTTTACCACAAAACGTTTCTATGAATATATATATATATATATATATATATATATATATATATATATATATATATATATATATATATATATATATATATATATATATATATATATAATTTATGGGCTTCACGTTAGACGAAGTAAATGGAACACTATTAATGATACTCCCTTAAAATAATAATTGGATCAATGGATGAGAGAGGGCGAAAGAGAGAAAAGTAAAAATCGAAATAAAATGGAATACGAGAATAAACGTTGATGACGACGATGGTGGTGATGATGGTGAGAAATGAAAAACAATGAATCAATAAAATATCAACAGAAAAAATCAGCTAGAAAAAAAGAGAAATGATAGTGATTAAAGTAAGATTAGAAGTTAAAGAGAAAGTAACAAAAATCGGTTAAGTTATGAATTTAGACTATTAAAATCAATGGTCTTTTTTTAGCAAGTTTTCAATGTTTCTCCAAAGATTATCTTTATTTGAAAAAGTATCCGAAAGTATTTAGTGAGTATAACATTGTTAGACTGTTACATTTTAAGGAGTATGGTAAAAGTATATGCATATCATTCATCATAAGCAAATTTTTTCACAAAATAATCACTTTATTGTATACATTGAATCGTATTCATTAATAGTTAGAATTCGACGATCTCTTAAAGAACATATCAGACTACGTAATTGAAAAACTTAATCACTATTGAATGTAAATCAGTCGAATAGCGTAAAATAAATGTTGAAAAGGGCTTTTTGTATAAGTACACATTTACAAAGCGAAGGTGTTAGTTAAAGCCATAAATACTTAAACTATGATCAACCAGTTCTAAGTGTATTCTGAATCAAAATATGGACAGTTTAACAAAACTGCCATGTTTACAAAAACGTTGATATAGTTGTGGAAGGAATTCACCTTTCATAAAGTTTATACAAACATAATACATGGTGGAGATTTGTAGCTCAAATGGATGATTTTGATAAAGTTTTGTTTTCTGAGTTGGATGGTTTGGTCGTGAAGCTCTCATCGTTCTTCTGAATTATATCATCAGCACAAACTTCAGGTAGAAGTTGGATTAATCATCTCTTAGAACCTTGTCCAATATTTATCACAGATATATAATAAAAGGTATCAAACACCAATACGAAATTTGCACCATTTTTAAATGTAATGTAATAACCTCCTAATCTCCAAACTCAGTATATATGTATTTAGCATCAGTTATATTATATTTCAATGAATGAAATAGCATACTGTCTAAATACATTTAAATATGTTCTGTCAGCAAGTCACTACACAATGCTACCCTTATCTTTCTTGTAATAATATAAATTACACTTCAAAATGGTTTTTGAAAGTATTGTAATGTCAGTTACTATGTTAAGCCCATATGCTTTATTCTAGCTATCGAACAGCCCATTCTATTCATTCTATTTGAGCTACATTCTGTCCGTGTTAGTTATTCACTTATCAATGTTGACTGTTTTTATATGAGTGCATATATGTGTGTGTACACTTCTTATCCCATTAATCATCACATGTTTGTCACCTATTTTTGTGTGACTATAAATATTGATTAATGTTTGATTAAAAGGGAGTTGGCTTACCCGCCATCTCCACTGCGCGTTGTTTCGTTTCTCTCTATTCTATTCTCTTCATGTACAAAATCTATGTATCCAAAAGTCCATTCTCGTTATTTGACTTATTTAATTCCGTTATTGACTAACTAAATTTAAGTCGATGATTATATATGAAGATAGGCGATAACAAACATTCATACGATTTACTTAGAGTCAGATCTCGGACCACTGAAGTGGAGAGCTCGTCAACAAACATCGTCCAATCTAAATGACGACAAAATAAAGGACCCCATAGTACATTAAAACTCACTTTGAATTATATTAATCACTATAATTCACATTTCTGAAAAACAGACATATATATATATATAGTATATATATGATAACATTTTCAATTTACTTTGATACCTTATGGAACATCTTTTATTATTCATATCATTTCTAATATCAAATTGTATTACTTCATTATGTATGACAATTTGAATTTTTCTTACTGAGAAAATTAACTCATATGAAACTAATCTATTTTCTCCATACCGACTTAATGAATTAAAGCATAACCAATTTATTTTCAAAATACTTTAATATTTCGTGACATATTTTCACCAACTTAGTTCCATCCTTTTTCTTCTTTTGTTTTGTTTTAGAAAGAAGAACATCTACGTTTACACATCAGTATTACTTAAATGTTTAGTAAATACGTGCTTTTTTTTTGTTTTTTTCATAACATAATTCATGGTAGACAGAAATAGAATGTTAAATTAATAATTTTACCATTTATATTAATCAATCCATAACCATTTTATATCAAAACTATTATGAATTCAGTCAACGAATTCTTTTACATAAATAAATGTACCGAAATACATTTTTTCCCTATCCATTTTATTAGTTTGTTTTAACTAAATACCATATTTGGGCGTATAATCTTAAAATACGTGCGCGTGCGTATACTGAAATCTAAAAGATTTTTTTTAAAAAAAAACAAAAACAAAACAATCATCTTATTTCTTTTTTGTACGCTTGTTTATCTTTGTTATTGAATAGTTTATCATTTTAAGCCATCGGTTATATTATTATAATTAAATTACATTGAAAGATTGGCATGCAAAAAATATGTAGAAGATAAAATTGTGATGAATATATAGAAATATATAAACTCAATAGTAAATTTGTGAATACCGCCTAATGAATCTATTTCAATTATTCAATAAAAGTAATTTTTAGATATGTTCATTGAATCTATTTAAGTATTACATTAACTTACAAATATACAGGATTACTTATGATAACATTTATTGTCATGCACTTACATTGTATGTTAATATATTTTGAAAACAGTGATGAACCAAGAAATTCAACATTGATGTATCATTCCATTTAAAAATCATTGAATAGATCTTGTCGGATCATATTAGATATTGTATAACATTAAAGTGAAAGGATTGAGTTCGAATCGTAATGTGAATAACATGAACATGGATATTCTAGTGTTTAGAGAAATACATTTTTCACATTACTTTCCATTTCGAGTAGAATTATTCTATTAAATAATATAAACTTATCATTTTTAATATAAGAGA